TAATAATTATTATCTTATATTAAATCTAAAAACAGATAAACTCTTATGTTAAGAGATAAGTTGAAAATTGTTTTCAGTTTTCATGAAAAATTTTCGATTAAACTTTATATTAGATATTTATTTTCCTTCGATTCTTTCGTTCATTAATCGAACAAATAAATCAATAGATAATTTTATTTAAAATAAATAAATGAGAAAAAAACGAAAAAAATTACTAAATATTTAAAAATAAAATATCGATTTTTAAAATAATACATATATATTAAATATCGATATATTGTTGTCAGTCAATCTCGATATTAATATTTCATTAAATTTATTTCAACATTATATTGTTTTATTTTATTTTATTTAAATTAATTTATTAGAGAAATTTTATAATTAAACATTATTCTAAAAAGAATAATTTTGTTCGTCGAAATCAAATTGTTTAACATGACATAAATATATAGAAAAACTCTCAAGAATAACAAGATAATATAATCCGACAGTTGATAAGGTTAAAGAAGAAAACGTTTCATATATAAATAGATTAGTTAAATAATAAAAACTTTAAAATGACGTCTGATAAGGATTTGTTTAAAGAATAGGATTTATGTTTTTCATGACATATTAGTTATTGTTCTAATGTAAATTAAAATAAATTCATTAATAAGAGTAATCTATTCGTCTGTCTTCATTATCGTTCTTCTCTTTAGTTTAAATCCGGTATCTGCCGTCATACGAGTTCCTTCCTTTTAATAATTATATATTTAACGAGATTTTTTTAGAAAAATGAATACATACGAAAAGAATTATTAATAAAATAACAAGAGTTTTTTTTCTTCTTTCTTTTAGATAAATTCAATCTCATTTCAAATAGTTTTATATTAAAAAAAAAAACCGTTCGATAATAATAGATAGTTGAAAATAATATTGAAATTCATTTTTATATAGAAAATAATATTTAATTCTATTATAATTATATGTAAATAAGTAACAATAGTTGAGATTGTTACATTTGGATTAAATAAGAATAAATAAATTTAAATAGTTCTCAAAAAACTATATATATTTATCGTCAATATGATGGATTTATTTCAATGTAGGAATTATCTTATTGATTCATCGCTTTTTATACTTAATTATCACATTTATTTTATTCTTATCTTGTTTACTTTTCCTTATTCATATATATATATATATAAATTATTTTTATTATTGAATATAATGATAAAAAAGTTGCTAGACTAAACAAAATAAAAAAATCAATATTGATATGCTCTTTTTTATTGTTATATACATTTATTAGAATTGAGAGGATAAAGGTTATATTTATTGAAAACAAAACACCGAAGATAATATTGATTTAAATGATATTGTCAATGTTGAATCTATGTTTATTTAACGTTTTCAAAATGAATAAGTTAAATAGAAAAAAAAACATTGTGCCTCTCTCTCTCTCTCTATATATATATATATATTGATGAAATAATGTTAAAAGAAGGAGAAAACTAAGATCCTATATTATAGGATATATCCTATATTGACTTTCAGACGGAAATTCCTTTTTTTTTTTTGTTCGATCCCCTTTCATGTTGATTATTAAGAAAAAAAAAGTTATTCTTTCTTTTCCATTTATTCCTCTCGCCGTTTTCCTATAAAAAAGATCATATATGAAAAAAAAAAGATTCTCTGATTATTAATATGTTCTTCTTATGATATATATATATACATATGATTTTTTTGTTTAATCTCTATTAGTGACGATGATTTCTCGTAAATATTTCAATAGTCTCATTGTAATAACATTAATAATCAATATATTATTTGTTAATGGTATGTATATTTGGTTTTTTCTTATTTTATCAATAAGATTATTTGAAATATAATATTAGTTATATAACATTTATTTATTAAATATTTTGTTTAAATAAAATAGCAATAGAAATAAAAAAAGTAAGAGATCGTTTGTTCTCGTTTTGTTTAATAGAATTCAAATAGTTTATTATCATCATTGAGAATATTTTTTTGTAAAAGATTTTGAAATCTCTTTTAAAAAAAGTGAATGGTGATTAAAAATAAAATATATCTATTTAAATAAGAACAAATTCTATTTGAATATATTATTTTAACTATTTAAAATAAATCGAATTATTTATCAAAATATTCTCATCTCTTGTTTTACTTATTTAAACACAACAGATGTTTAAATCTTAAAAATCTTTTAAACTATTTCTCGAAAGATTATTTATTGAAGAAATATAAGTTATGCGAGAATATCCTGATTATCTATCCGTTTAATATTGTTTTATTTGTTGGAAGATTTATCATAAGAGAATATATTCATAATTGATTTTTATC